GTAGGATGTCCCGACATGAGGGTGAGTTGATAAACGGGTCCACGGCGCCGGGGGTTGGAGCTACATTACCTGAGCAGCTAGCTCTTCTGCTACCCTTGCGAAGTGCTTATTCAGGTCGGGGGGGGGGGGGGCGGGGGGGGGGGGGGTTAATGTGTCGCGTGGGGGAGCCGTTTTCCCCTCGCGGCCGGTGGCCGCCGTGACCTTCTGTCGGAGCTCGCACCGGCCCGGTTGACCAGACAGGGTAATTAGTTACGCCTCGAGGGAGTGGAGGAGGTGGAAGGAGGGGGGGGCGAGAAGACACACACACACACACACACACACACACTGACACACACACACACACACTCAGCACAGACACACTCGTGCTCTCGTTCTGTCTCTCAGCTGCACACACTCTCTTTCCCTCCACACACACACACACACACACACACACACACACACACACAGAGACACACACACACATCTTGTGTTTCTCTGGCTGTTACACACACACATATTTTACTCATTCACACATCTCTTTCTCAGTCTGTTTGTCTCTCACACACAAAGGCAGGGAATGTTTTACACTCAGACTCGTCCATCTGTGTGTGTGTGTGTGTGTGTGTGTGTGTGCAGTGAGGTCAGAGGTCAGCGTGTCTGTGGTTTCAGACCGAACAGAATAGTTTACGAGGTTTAATAAAAACAGGATGAATCACAGCGTTGATTTTCAAAACTGGAACTTTCTTCTTCTTCTTCTTAGTAAAACTGTCATCACCTGAATCGCCTGTCAGACGCGTCGTGGAGGTCAGAGTTTAATCTCGCAGCAGAGAGCCTGTGGGTTGCTGGTTGGGATACAGTGCTCCGTTGCTCAAGGACACGTGGGTACGGTGCAGACCGCTGGTGTTTTCCAGTGTTGCACCTCCGTCAGGTTTCATTCACGGTTTCGACAGGAAGTTGTGTGGCTGTGATGTCATTTGGGTCTTTTAGTTTCATTGGTGGAACCGTTGCTTTGTGCACCTTTGTGGTTTGTGTCTGTGGTTCTGTTGTTTGAACTTGAGGAAACACTCGAACCGAGCTGAAAGAAAAAGATCAGGTATCAGTCAATGAATCAATCAATTAATTGATCAGGTCAGTCATGGGACTAAAACACATGACTCTGTTTGAATATGACCTGCAGAATGTGGTGGAAGTTAGAGATGAGACAAGTAATGAAACCGTAAAAGAAGGAGACGTGTCAGTTGAATCATGGGAAATGA